CATTGTTATTGAATTGACCTATAGGACAGCATAGAACTTCCCCATAGGGTTTCCAAGGCTGTAATCTTTTATGGAAGGAGACTGCTACCTCTTTCTCCCATGGCTTGGCTGGTGGATTTGAACCACGAACCTTTCAGTTAGCAGCCAAGGACTTTAACCACTGCACCACCAGGGCTCCTTTCTCTTTCTAAAGACAATGATATTAGTCCCTCCCAGCTCATTTACTAACAGATTGCATGGCCCCTTACTGTTTCTGGGTCTCTGCTTCTCCATCACAAGGAGCAGGCTGAAGAAACTGACCCCAATGCTTCCTGCTAGGTCTAACTCACGTTGGACAATTGCAGGGTAGGGCAATCACACATTCCCAGCTCTGGGAGAGTTCCAAGTTATGTCACTCATCTTGTTAATTCTTTATAACATCTTCTTTCATTCTCAAAAGTGTCACCCTATTTATGGGAGAAAGAGGTGCCTATGGCAGTGCTGTCAGCAATGAGTTAGGCTCTTCGCCCTGATTCTTTCTGGGCATTTTTTTTCTCTGAGCTAGAAGTTGGAAGGTTCTGGAGACTTTCCAAAATGCCTAGGCCAGCTCTGCTGAACATTAAATGGGCATGGACCAGTTCACTCATTCTGCTCTGAAAGATCACTCAGCAAATATTGGCTGAGGCTGTGACTGCACATGGGCTAAGGCTTTGCCTGTGCCTTTGGATGAGGTTTGGCTGATTGAAGGAATGGCAACCAAAATCATGGGAAAATGGCAGCAATACCCATTTTCTCACCTGGTCCTAAACCTCCACTCACTAGCATGTGGGGTGAGGGCTAGTTTTGGAGGATACAGAGGGGAAGATTCTAGAACAGAGTCCACAGGATGGCCAAATTCTCATAGCCGTGGATGCTCAAAGAAAGGGCTGTGGATGACAGAGAACTGTGGAACCTTTCCCCTCAACAGGCTATATGTGTCCCTTAGGAAACCAAAACAACCAAACCAAATTAGCTGCCATAGAGTTGATTCTGACTCATGGTGACTACATGTGTTTGCAGAGGAAAGCTGTGTTCCACAGAGTTTTCATGGCTGTGACCTTCCAGAAGCAAATCGCCAGCCCTATCTTCTGAGCTGCTTTTGGGTGGGTTTCAACTGCCAACTTTTTGGTTAATAGCCACATGTTTACCTGTTTGTACCACCCAGGGAAGCTTGTCCCCCAAGAAATGGATCATAAATGCATATTAGCCTTCCAGGTAGGCAGTGGCGTAGGAGTAGGCTCTTTGGCAAGTGGGAAAAATGCTGGCTCTGTGATTATTTTGTTACCTGAGATCAGTGAAAGGATGGTGGAACTTGGAGGAGGAAGAAAGGTAAACTAGTAACCTTTTTGGTTTAAATCAAGTTGATTCTCAGAGGTTAACTGATCTCAGACTTTCTGAGACGTTGGCTGTAAATGTGTGTGTGTGTGTTCAACATAAGGAGGAGACACAACGGGACAGGCCCCCTTTTTCATATTAGAAAAAAAAGCTTCAGAAAACAAAATTCTTTAAAATCCTAGGAGACACCCCAGGAGTTCATAAAGTAATTTTCTTGAAATCTCAGCGGCTGTGCTACAATTAGGGGAAGAGAAGGCAAATGAGGGAGGAGTAGGGACCCAAGGAATGGGTCTTTGTTTTCTCTTCTCTTTGTTAGATTTTCTGCTTGTTTTATTTTGTTCTGTTTTTAAGATCCTGGTATGTGGGAAGAGTCTCACTGAAGAAGAACATGAGTAACACTTGGTCAGTCTGTTTACTACATAAACACGCTTACACAAATTCATTTATTGGTTGCCTACTACGGGTTAGGTGGTAAGGATGCAAAGTCAAAGAACACACAAAACTCTCCTCCTGTCCAGAAGTTCATAGTGAGGGGGGGGTGACATGTAAATAGATAAATTTCTGGGTCTTCGATGAGTTATAACCGAGGTGTGACATATACACACATTACTCTTGAAATAAAGCTAGTCTTAATTGTTTTCTCCCCAGGATACCCTCCTCCTTTGTGGCATTTGCATATATGCTGACTTGTTTTATTGAGTTGAAATTCATATAACATGAGATTACCTATTTTAAAGTGAACAATTCAGTGGCATTTAGTACTTCCATAATGTTGTACAACCACTGCCTCTAGTTAGTTGCAAATCGTTTTCATCACCCCAAAGTATAACCCCCTACCCATTGATCGAACAGAACCCTGGTGGCGCAATGGTTAAGCACTTGGCAGCTAACTGAAAGATCAGGGGTTTGAACCCACTAGCCAGTCCTCAAGAGAAAAGGCCTGGCAATCCACTGCCATATAGAGTACAGCCTAGGAAACCCTATGGGGTAGTTCTACTCTGTTACGTTGTTGTTGTTGTTATGTGCCGTCGAGTCGGCCCCGACTCATAGCGACCCCTTCTTGGGTTTCCGAGGCAGTATCACTATGGAAGTAGGATTGCCCAACCTTCCTTCCAAGGAGTGGCTGGTGGGTTTGAACCGCCAGCTGTCTGGTTAGCAGGCAAGTGTCTTAGCCACTATGCTACCAGAGCTCCCCTACTCTGTTATAGAGGGTCACTATAAGTCAGAATCAACTTAATGGCACACAACAACAACCCCCATTAAGCAGTGCCTTCCCCCCTCCAGCCCTTGGCAATCACCAGTCTGCTTCCTGTCTTATTCTCCATATTTCGTAGAAGTGGAACCATACAAAATGTAACCTCTTATATCTGACATCTTTAACTGGAGGTTCATCACTGTTGTAGCATGTATCAGCACTTCATTCCCTTTTTGATGTTTGATCAGTCCATTGTATGTATAGACTGCCATGTTTTATCCATTCATTTGGAAATGGGTATTTGGGCGGTTTCCACCTTTTGGCTATTGTGAATATTACTGCCACAGACATTTGTGTACATGTATTTGTTTGAGTAAGGCGCTCTGGTGGTGTAATGGTTAAGGCATTTGGCTGCTAACCAGCAGGTCAGTGGTTCAAACCCACCAGCCGCTTCGTGGAAGAAAGATGAAATAGTCTGCTTCTGTAAAGATTTACAGCCTTGGAAACCCAATGGGAGTCACTAGGAGTTGGAACTGACTTAATGGCAGTCAGGTTTTTTTTTTTTTTTTTTTGAGTACCAGTTTCAAATTCTTTTGAGTATATACTTATGAGTGGAATTGCTGGGTCATCTATTTAACTTTTGAGGAACTGCCAAACTCTTTCCCATAGTGGCTGAACCATGACCCTCCCATTCTGTCTTTTGGATGCTTCTCCTTAACTTTACCAAAGAACCGAATCCTAGTTTACAAACACATGGAGCAGCTCTCAGTGCCTCGCTTGGCCCAGTTGGCAAAGACTTGTGTTAATGAGGATAAGGTCAGGGATTCAATCCCCACACTGACTAGTTAGCTGAACAGAGTGGACAAAGTGAAAAATTATGTCTGCTGCCACCATCTAATGCTGTCCTGCCCTCTTGCAGAAATTTACTAGTGGTCACAGGGGATGAAGCAAGAGTGTATTTTGATGGTCTCACATAAAAGAAGAAGAAAAAAAATCTTAGCATCCAAGGTCTATTACTAACTTAGAATGAGATGAGTTCTTCCAATCTTGGTTCCATCTAATTTGTTAAGTCACTTGGGCAAATTGCTTAACAACCACCCCCTCCCTCCCAGCCTCAGTTTTCTCATTACTAAAATGGGAATAATAATCCTTACTTCAAAGAGGTAATAATGCATTTGCACGCAGAAGGCTTCCAAAACCAAAAAACCCAAACTCACTGCAGTGGAGTCATCTGGACTCATGGTGACCCCCTTCTTGGGTTTCCCAGGGGGCACCTCTACAGAAGTAGATTGCCCAATCTTCCTTCTCACTAGTGGCTGGTTAGCAGTCAAACGCCTTAGGCACTACCCCACATAAATGCCTTGAATCTGAAGAGTGGGCAACCTCATCTTACATATGTGCCAGGCTCAGGCTCAGGAATTGGCCTCTGCAGTGTGCTCTTAGCTGCTCTCACAAGGTTGACTGAACTGGAATAGTGGTGCACTATTGCCCAAGGAGTTGCACTGGCTGTTTTAAAATGTCCTATTTGCATGGAATGAAGCTCCCTATGGTAACAAGGCCTGGTGGCTGGAATCCAGGGCCCCAGTGAAAAATGCAAAGCCCTTACGCTGGGAGACAGAGGAGATGGGGTAAGGGGGCGGGTATCAAAAGTGAGGTTACTTCAGTTCTCTTGTGAAGAGGGAGTAGGTAACTGCGGCAACAGGACTGACCTGAACACTCCTACTCCCAGTCAGAGGAGGAAGGGGGTAAGCCCCATTGAGGCCTTCTAGACATCACTCTTGGTCCCTTCCCTCTCCCCTCAGTGTTTTCAACCTATCAGCTAAGAAGTTTAGGACCTAGCTAAGTCCCTTTGCAGGCTCTGTGGGGAGACTGGGGCGCGACAGGGAGAGGAGTCTTCCCTTCTTGCTTCTTCTGGGGGTGGGTAGCCAGGTTGGGGGGAGGTGGAGAGGGAGAGTGAGAGGCACACCCGGCAACCGCTTGGTTCCCAGTTGGCCTTTCGTCGCCGCATTCTAAGGAAACGGGAAAGCAAGAACTCCACTTCTTAGCTCGCGCAAGCTACTCCCCTCCCCCTTGCTCCCTCCGGGATCCTTTTTCCGAGCACCCCTCTCCCTCGGCACCCACCTCCTCCCCGGCCCTAGCGCGGCGCGGGGCACTAGGTCGCCCGGGCGGGGGCTGCCCCACCGCTCCAGGGAGGGGACCAAGAGCCGGCCTTGGGCCAGGCTCCCCCCTAGCCCTTGCCAGGGGCGCCACCCAGGCGCACTCCTGGTAGCCGCCCAAAGCCCCCGCCTCCTGGGGGGTGTGTCCCCGAAGTGGGGGGCGCGGGAGGCCGAGAGTGGCCTCAACCCCGGGCCAGGCTCCCTCCCTAGCGGGCGGCGAATGGTAGGCTCCATGAAAGAGTGCCGAGCTGTGCGCCGCGGCGCGCGCTGTCCTCCTGCGAGCTGCTTTCCCCGCCGGGGTCTCGGTGATCGCTGCTCCTCCTCCTGCTCCTTCTCCTCCTCCTCTTCCTCCTCCTCCTCTTCCCCCCGCCGCCTTGCTACCGCCGCGGCTCCGGCTGGAGGCGCCGCTGTCATTCCTGCGCCGGAGAAGCTGGCGCTGCCGGTGCCTGGGGGTCGGGGCGGGGGCACGGGGCCGCGAGGGACCCAACAGGTAGAGCTGGGGAGCCCGGTTGAGAGCCCCTTGCGCGTCATGCAGCTCTTTGTCATCTCTCTCGCCCCCAGGCCAAAATCCTGAGCATGATGGAAGACAATAAGCAGCTCGCGCTCCGCATCGATGGGGCGGTCCAGTCGGCCAGCCAGGAGGTGACCAACCTGCGAGCCGAACTCACGGCCACCAACCGGAGACTGGCGGAACTGAGCGGCGGCGGCGGCCCCGGACCGGGCCCCGGCGCGGCGGCCAGCGCCTCGGCGGCGGACTCGGCGGCTGCGAACATGGAGAACCACCAGCTCGGCGCGCAAGGTAGGGACCGCCCGGCGCCCGGCGGAGGCAAGGCGGGAGAGAAGGACCTGGCCCGGAGGTGGCCGGGGACTCGGCGCCCCCCACCCCCACGCCTGGGCGGAATTGCTTTGCATTGTGGCTTGTAACCCCTTCCGCCCGGCCCGGCTTTGGCCACCGCTGCTCCCTTGCTGGGAGTTGCTGGCGGCTGTCATTAAATCACACCCGGGAGGAGTGTGCACGGGTTCACACGGCCGCACCGGCCCGGGGCGACGTGAGCTAGGCGCAGCCGGCGGGGCCCTTCCGGCAGCCGAAAGTGCCCTTTAGATGGCACACAGCCCCCAGCTCAGCGGGCAAACTTTTCATGCCCAGGTCCTGGCCTCCACCCCCAGCAGGGGTGAATGGCACAGCTCCTCCCAGTTTCAAAGGCTCCTTCTTGATCACCTTGCTTTGGAATGACTCTTCCCCCCCCTGCCGCCCCCGCGAGCTCCGGCTCTGGGCCGGGTTTGGGGTACAGGATTGGTCTGGCTTGCACTTTTCTCCACGGATGCCAAATCTCTTGTCTCAATTGCATCTGGACTTTATTTTCTCTCCATTTGTTATCGTGCAGGCGGTGAATTATATAGATGCAACAGTAGATGCTTTACTCAGCAGGGAGTTTAAATTTCTAGCAAATATAAACACCCAGCGCACTTTCCAGGGGGAAATCTTAGACCTCAAAGGCTGAGCAATGGGCTTCTGGTGGAATGAAGACTAATATAATGGGTTGCTGGGAACTCCTGCGTTAAGGGACCTTAGGACCCTAGCAGTTTAGCAGGGGAGCAAAAGACAAACAGCTGGTTTGTGTTGACATTCAAGGTGATGAAACCACTGCAACCCCCTGCAAGGGTTAAAGGTGGAAGTGGCGCCCCTAAATGTTCTGTTTGGTTTCTGTGACTTGAAAAGTCAAAGGGTGAGCAGACTTTTCAGGATTTTCCCCCTAATTGCCACTTAATAAAATGGCATCACTGGTTGTTAATATCATTTGAATTCTAAACTGCTGAAATCCAGATCAGTACAGTGAAGGATATCCACTCCCTGGGGGTCACTTGTCTAAATATGTCACTTGATGAAGTGTGCGGTCCCAGTTGCTCAGTGGCTCATAATGATTTTCTGATTTCAGTGTTACTTGAAGAGCTCGAAGTGCCGAGAGACTTAACTGTTTTCATGCTACTGTGGGCTTTCCATTGGGTATGCTTCCTCTTGACCTTCCTGGGGAAGGTGTGCTTGTTTGATTTGAGATGTTAAACCTGAACATTCTCAGTTTTATGTTGGATTGCAAGTCCCATTTGAACTTGGTACTTGAGGAGAGTCTTTCAAAAGTCTTGGGAATCAGCGAAGTCATTTGGTACCAAGATAGCCATGACGTAATGGTGGGAGGGTGCTGCAATCCTAGTTTTTGCTACACAGTTTGCTACACAGTTTTCCTGGTTGGCATCTGGTTATCTTGTCATTTATCCCTTGCTATGTCATGGTGTGTGAAAGACTGCCCTGGGTACCTGGGCTAAAAAAAGAGGAGATAGGTAGGCTGCAAGGTACCACTTTACCTGGTATAAGCAGAGAGTCTGCTAACATCAAAGAAATAGCTCCGAACTGGCATTTTGCTAAGAATCAAAAGCCATGGGAAGGGAGATTGAACAATGCTGGTATATTTCCCACCAGTCTGCCGGTTCTCTCAGCCAAGGAAAAGTTAAGTGGTTTTTATTTGAGTCCTGGGTCTGGCTGCAGACAGAGCATGCTAAGAAGGGCAGTGTAGCAATGATGCAGTTACTCAACTTGGAGATCTATGTACGAGGTGATGCTTAAATGGTTGCAATGGAGCAACCAGGGGCTGTTTCCTTTTTCTTTTATCCAACAAAAATGCACAATATGTGGAAACGAGAGTGGCTTTTGGCTCTCCTGATATCCCTAAACACCTCACGGATCCAACAGCTCCATTGAGCCCTTAGGAGCCTGTCCCCATGTCAGTCACCGTCTAAGGGTTATAGGAGCAAGAATCGTCTTGATTTTTCTTCTTTGTACCTTTGGGATTTCTCAAAACCTTTCCTCAGGGCATTTCATGATTTTACAGTGGGAAAATAAAATGTCAAATGTTTTAACTCAACTTTGTTGGCTATGCATCCCTCTTAATTGATGCAAATTTAAACTGATGTGATGGCTGAAAAGAAAACAAGCCCCCATATAAATCCAGTCTGGCCTCAATCCAGTACTTTGCATTAATTTAGCCCCTGTGTGTTTTATTGTTTTTTTTTTTTTTGTTTTGTTTTGTATTTTTTTCTCTCATGGCCTATGGCAGCATTCTGGTAGAATCAAAACTCTCTGCAAAAGTAGTCATCATTTCTTCTGATATTGCTTTCATTTTCCGAAAGGAAAAAAAGCATTGGGTCTTTCAAGTTCATTTGAAAGTGTGGTTGATTGGTTTCCTCATGCTTCTTCATGCTACACCTCCAGGGAGGCTCGAAAAGACTGAGCCCCTTTAAGTCTTTGACTGTTCTTCCAAATTAGTCTGCTGTTTTAATTTTGACTGTGTCCTTGTGATTCAGCTGGCCCACCCCCTAAGCGTATTGAGCGCTATTGAGTTACTACTTTTTGAATGAAATGGGTATCTTTCAAAATGTAACCGAGTAAGTCATATTTTAACTAAAGGGCAGTATGCACATATTAAATACATGTTAATGTACCTCTAATACTATTAGCACAAATGGTGACTAGGAGGAGTCTCCTTTTGCTTCCCCTGCTACAAGAGTCTTGTATTCTGGTTTCAACTTTTTTTTTGTTTTGTTTTAAATGAATTAAGCAATCCACCATTGGTAGTTTTTTTTCCAGCGATGTTCTCCGGCAGTAGGTGGGTTTATGCTCTGTTTTGATGAAGAGAACTTGGGGTTTCTTAGAGGGTTAATGCCGTGTGTCATTTAAACAAAATATTAACTTGGTTGGTACCCTCTGTGAGCTGGCATGGTTGCTATGGAACGGAGTCTAGAAAGTGAACTGCTGAAAATCTGGGCTTTCGGCACTTTGCAAAATCTTCTTGCGGAATCTGTGTTGAAAGAACACTTGGCAGGCAGCCCATCGTCTCTCTCCGTGCTGCAAGGGAGTTGGATAATCCCTAATGAGGATGCTGGCATACAGTGCTGAGGGCATTCACACAGGGTGGCACATTTCACAACTCCCGAGGCTGCCTTTGGGCTTGGTGGGGTCAAAACCACCGTTGACAGGTGGACAGAAGGAGATATGGAGAAAACTGAGCCAAGCATTTGTTCCAGTTTTTGGTGGTGTTGGTAGCCAGAGAACCCATTTGTTTAAAGTCACATTTCTAAGCTGTTTTCCTCAGCGTAACATCTCTGCGAAAATGTGCTTAAAACGCAGTTCTTTGAGGGGAAAACACAACAGTTTGTATCTCGGAAAATGTTTTATTTGATGAATGACTAATATTAGATTCAATTGGTTGCTTTGCTCTGTGTAGAATAAAACAATTAAGTGCCATTGTATTCAATTCAACTAGGTGTTAGCTATATATAACATAAAATACTTATGCCAAGTAGGATGCATGCCTACTGCCATTAGTTTTTTTTTTTTTTTTTTGTTGTTGTTTAAAAGGAAATAGTTGTATTTATAAGATTATGCAAGTGGCAGTGCTGATAGCATCTCTCTATGGTTTTTAAAAAACTTCCTGCATGTGTTGAAATGAGGATGAGGAAAAGGGACATTTTTCTACACCTTTGTAAATTTTCATAAAGCCATACAAAGTTGTTTTTTTTTTTCTCCCCAGGCATTAAAATAGGCTGTTACTTAAGGTCTGACTGCTCTTATCTGCCATTACTACAGCACCGGAAGATCTCCAGTGAAGTATAAATTACCTTTGGAGTGAATTGAATGTGTGAGCAGTCTGCAGAGACGCTAGACACTGTTGCTTTGCAAAATAAGTTCTGTCTTTTGGCATCCCCTTCCTAATTGATCCCACTTCTACTCCCCTTTCCCAGTAGACTTTTATCCTTTTTTGAGAAAGAACATTTTCAAATGGCAGAGAGGGTGGAAAAAAATGCCCTGAACCTCTGGGACCTTCTGTTGGTTCACCCCGCTCAGTTACTGAGCTCCTCAAGTAGCATGCTTGGTTTTCCAGCCTTCTCAATGGCAGAAGAAGACACAAGCAGGCTGCCAGGAGATGAGTTTCAATATTTTTCCCCAAAATCACCATGCATGGTCGCAAAGAGATTACTTACAGGTCAGTACAGCATCGTTGAAATTAGTTATTGATTGACTATTATTTACTGTCTTTCAATTGTCTTTGGAAAGTGCCTTTGGAGAACCCCATAAGTCAAGTTTCTGGTTCTGGTTCATTTCATGCTGCCAACATTTCATGATTTACTGAGGTTTTTCCAAAATTCCTTTGATGTTAACTAGAAGTCTAAGCTGGTCTGATTTTTATAGTAGGAGCATAGTCACAAAGGAGCTCTGGTAGCATAGTGCCTAAGGCACTTGACTGCTAACCAGAAGGCTGGTGGTTCAAACCCACCAGCCACTCCTAGGAAGGAAGGTGGGGCAATCTACTTCCGTAGTGATACTGCCTCAGAAACTCAAGGATAGGTCACTGTGAGTCGGGTCCAACTCGACGGCACATAACAACAACAACAACAACAACATAGTCACATATCCTTCCAGGGCAGCAAGGTACACTTGCCTTCCTTTCAACCCCTGACCCGACTCGCCAAGACTGTTGGCACTTTTTAGGAATCCTGTAGGCTATAATTTGTGATTTCCTGGCTGTCAGGGAGCTTGTAGCAGATGGGCTTGGCTGGTAGGAAGTGCTCCCTGGAAATCTGCCTGCTCACCAGGTAGGTCATATGGGACCCAGAAGGTCAAGCTTGTGTGTGTGTGCATGTATATAGATATGTACACACACACACACTATAAATATATACATACACATATACACACACATACACATGCACTCCTCGGAAGGAAGATTGAGCAATCTATTTCCATAG